AAACCATTTCAGGTGACTACCTCTTGAAGCTCATGGAGAGAATGCCAAGAGTGTGCAAAGCAGTAATCAGAGCAAAGGGTGGCTATTTTGAAGAAACTAGAATATAAAACATGTTTTCAGTTATTTCACCTTTTTTTGTTAAGTACATAACTCCACATGTGTTCATTCATAGTTTTGATGCCTTCAGTGAGAATCTACAATGTAAATAGTCATGAAAATAAAGAAAACGCATTGAATGAGAAGGTGTGTCCAAACTTTTGGCCTGTACTGTATATATATATATATCTATATATCTATATATCTATATCTATATATATATATGTGTGTGATGCTAACTGTTAACCCTGTCATTGTGTGTCTGTGACTCCAGTCCCACAACAGCAGTCTCATGATAAACAGAGAGAGAGAAATGCTGAGTGAATCAATACGCTGCACACACTCTACAACAAAATTATATTTTACCCCTTTTAAGAGTAAAGTTGCTGTGATTGGACAAAATTGCAAGGATTGGCTAAATTTTCGTTAACTGTTACGACTGCAACATCACAAAATATTGGAGGTATTACTATGTGCCATAGACTCCTGCATGGGACCAATTTTCAAGACCCGCTGCAGTACGTGCAATACTGCAGCCACCTTGGCCAAACCATCGACACAAGATCCATGGCTCAACCTGAAACTGCAAATCCTATAATAACCACGCGCTGTTCAAAAAGTTTAATTAAAGCAACACTTAGCTTTCTGGAAATTTTACACTTTTCTTTGTTTAGGTTAAAATGATATTAATAAGATGATGGCACACTAAAATGTAAGTGAATTCCACCAAAAATAAAACCATTCTCATATGGTTCTAAGAAAACTCAGACCAATCATTGCATTCGGACCGAATGCAATGATTGGTCTGAGTTTTCTCCTGTCCGGTCTGTCTTCCCCACGTGGAGGCCTCCGACTGACGTAACCGCTCACGCAGCAGTTGCTAATGGCTAACATTAGCCTACTGTAGCATAGCCTCTGAAACATTAACGTTATCTTCCTTGTGCGTTTCCACTTACTAGTAACGTTAACGCTACTATCTAACGTTAACTGTAACCTTATTCTAAAACTCATTAGTCATCACTGACTGAGTTTTAAAAATCCGGGGTTGCGTTTGTAACGTTACACTTACTGTCCTCTTCCGTGTATCTAACATTGCCTTGCCAACACCTACGTCTATCATAGACATAATGAGGACGTAATGGAGGAGGGGGAAGTAGGCCTTTGGAGGGAGGTGGAGTTGTAAGAGAAGGGGATGGGACTTTGGAGGGAGGCTGGAGTTGTGGATGTTCAAATTGTTTTCTAAGTGCTCTGTGAAATGCAAGAAAGGTAAGAGTTGCTTTAAGCAGCAAGTTTCAGTGATCATTTTGGGACATTTCAAACACCAGACAAGATAATATATTTTAAAACAACCATAATTTAGGAAAAAATAAATACACTTCTTGTCATAATGTTGAGCAGCACATCCTCCCAGTTAGTAACGCACCTGATTGAAGTGGCACTCATTCCAGCTGGCACAGAAGAAAGAGCCGACACACAAAGTCAGCAAACAATGGGCTTGGAGCCGAGAGCCTCAGACAAGAAATGATAAAGTATTGAGAGAGGCGGCTAACACGTTGGTTTTGGTGTTAACATTATCACTCTGAGAAAGATTTTGGGGTATATACCTAAAATCAGCTTTACAGTAAACAATCTGATACACCTATATTTCAATGGAAAGACATTGTTGAAGGTCATGTGCTTTAATTTGATGTTTGACTTATTTTGCAAATGACTTGCCAATGCCCATATTTGACACATTTGACACACACAAGTATGTCTGAAAAATATATGAATAGGAAATGAACCTGGTACATCTGAGATGAGCCCACTGAGCCCATAACAAATAGTGATATATAGTCCATCAAGCAAGTTTAACAGTGTGCCTCTTTTCTATTTGGTCAGATCTGCTACAGTAAAGATGAGCACCTTGTTGCTACGTTTCTCAGTGTAAATGAAGACAGGACGGAAAACGGGAGAGAAAAACAACAGAATGGAGAAGGTTGAGGCAGCAGAGTAATTGTGCCCGAGTGATTCAGCCAGCAGAGTTTTTGTCTGGTTTGTTTCCATGGTTTCACATCGGTCCCCTCATCCTGTTAAAATGTGCACTGAGGACATTTTCTGAGAACACAATGAAGTCAGACCACAGGTGCACAGATTTGCTCTCCATGTTGATTTGATTGTTTCCTCACTCTAAGAATATACATATACAATTGCTCGTGTTTGTACTGTTGTTGGTTGTTTGTGTCAGAGTTGTTGCGTTTTCATACATCATGGATCCGACTGTTTGTTTATGTATGTGACAAATAAAGCTTGAACTGAACTGAACTTCTCTATCGTATTGAGATTATCTCCCACCCAATAGTTATATCATAACTAACTGGGATAATCGACGTGGAAAATTAATAATCTTTAAGACACACCAATTTAAGTGGCCGGCATGCACCAGGCTATAAACGCCCCGACCCCCCCCCCAATTATAACTACTGGGTGGGGAGATAATTTCCTCACTCAGAGAACCAAGGTTACAATGTAACCAACACTAACAGTAGGCTTAGGGGAAGCTTAAAATAGAGATAAAATGATATGGTTTCTGAAGGCTGATCCACATGTATTCAGCTTTTAGTTGCATCATTTTAATGTCAAAAAGTAAAATCAATTAATCATATTTTGAGTTTCTTCCTTTATCTGGAAAAAGACAATATATACTTGATTGAGTTTTCTGGTATAATAATAGAAAAACAGTAGAATAATGTAAATTTCTGCATTTTAAAATTCCATCAAAATGATCCATCACAGTGAAATCATTTTAAGGCTGCCACCAGCA